GCTTTTATTTGTTCCTGCTCCCGGTGGTTGGAACCTTTATTCCACTCTGTAATCTCATGAATGTAGTCTTTGTTCACTTTATCATAAAAAATCTTTTAAAAAAGAGTGTCAACTCTCGTCAACTATATTGGTAACTATTTTCATGGACTTTGAAGGATCTAGTCCAGGTAGACGGCTTCCTCGGAGCCCAGAAATTCGAACGCACCCAGTGTCTCTAGCTATTATTTAAGCAACAACTCGCCTATCAGCAAGTTCTGACAGGAGCTCTGGGAGGGTTGTGTTAAAAATGAGCGGTTCTGAGATTTAAACAAGCTAAAGCTGTATAATTTTGTCCATTGCACAGAGCCAGCCACATGACTCCAGTAATGAGCTTTTAGCCTTCAGGAATTTAAACTTTTTTTTTTTTTTTGTAGCAGAGAGATCCCCAGAACAAGTTATTGCATGACTTCAGAAAAATGTTAACAAACCTTTTCTTCTTTTTTTTCCAGTGTTGTTAAAACTCAAAGTCTGGTTTTGTTTCTCAGTGAAATTCGTAGAAAAACATGTTTAGAAATGTTTGATTATTTGAAATAAACCAAAGAAACATGATCTGCTGGGTTAGTTGAATAATACTTTGTCCAGCAGCCTCCCATGCAGTGTTTGGTTTGTTAAGAAATGAACCCAAAGGTTTGACTCAACAAACTCAAACGATCCTAAACAGAGAAGATGTGTTGGAAAGAACCTGATCTGTGAAGTCTCCAGCAGACCAAACACTCTGCCCAGTAGGCATCAATTGATACAGGGTTTAATTTTAGGCTGACCATTGTTACCTCATTCTAACCAATCCTCCATAAATGTCCTCCATATTTACATGATAAAAACACAATGATAAAAAATGTTACATAATAAGGTAGTGAAAAATAAATGGGTTTGGAAATTTAAAATAAATGTAAAGGCTCCAACTGCTGTGGTAAATCTCAGCTTCCCTCTTTTCTATTTCTGGAGTTTTTTTTTTTGTTGGTTTTGTTTTCCGCTGTTACTAAAAACAAATAAAAAACATGTGACTTCATCAGCTGTTTTGTCATGTCCCGTTGCCTCACAGGAGACCGATCGATGAGCAGTTCCCTGTCTCCCTCCCAGCTTCACACCGTCAACATGAGGGACCCGCTCAATAGAGTCCTGGGTGAGATATTACTCTGTTGTCTTAAAATAATCCCTAAACAGTCATCTATAAACTAATAAACGAATAAAATCTACACTAATTATTAGCATATAAAAATGAATCATTGAGGGTTGGTAAGCGTTGTCACATGATGGTGGGGAATACCAGGCTTTGGAAACCCCCCCCTTATGATGAATACAACAAATGGACATAGTGTTCCGTCGCCCGGATGCGGGTCACAGGGGCCCCACTCTGGAGCCAGGCCTGGAGGTGGGGTACGATGGCGAGCGCCTGTTAGCTGGGCTTTTGCAT